GAAAGTCTAAACTGTTAACAAATATATCAGAAACACATAGTTATTAACAATTATTTGACAAAACCATTATTTCATTATTATTTAAAAGGAATAATTATAGGATTGTTTTTTTATCTTATACAGCTTTCAAATTTTTTAAAATAAAAAAACCATAATTAGTTTACTTCTATTAAAAGATTAACATAAAATAATTATATTATATTGATATCTAGATCACTATTATGAACAAGACTATTGACTTTAATCTATATTTTTTTTTATATGATTATATATATTCAGGTCACAATTTAAAATCCAAATATCTATTGCCTTCTCACTATTAATACTTATGAAGCATACATATATGATTAATAATACAGCTAGTAGATAATAATTGTATACTCTTTTTTCTTTTTTACTACTTGGATTTTCAAAGGTTTATATGTATCAACTTTTAAATTTTGACAGGCTCTAATTAATTTACTTTGTAAAAATCATTAATATATTGATTATAAACATTCTGTTTAATAAAATCTTGCATTTAATGCTTGTCAAATAATAATGATAACAATAATAATAATTAAATTATCAAGCACAATCTTTTGATATTATATTTATAATCATATGATAAAGTAAATCAATTGATATACTGTATTTTTAAATGTAACTTTGATATATTTTAATATGGAAATAATAAGAATAATTAAATCAAAATTCTTTTAAATTTTAATGATAAAAAATTTATTGGAGACAAATAGACTTAATGTCAATGATTATTGCATACTGATTTTAGAGTTTACTATAATCAATGACATGATTTCTGAAATGTTAGGCAAAATCTTTATTTTTTTTCTTGAGATTGAAAAATTGTATGATTTAAAGTTATTCAATTTTATTACTCATCTCAAGTAACAAAAAAAATGAAATTAACCTTGTAAATGGTAATAAGGATATTCTATAATCCTTTATTGAAAAATACGCGTCGTAATTGCTGCCCCTTTTCATTCTTCAAATCCCAGAACATCGATTCTAATTTCAGTGGATCAATGACCGCCTTTTGAGGAAAAGCAGCGATTGCCAATGGTAACGCCGTAGTCAAAGAAAGTGCTATAAGTCCTAAATATCGGGAAAATATG